AACACGGCAATGATATCAGAGAACGTCTACAATGAAGGTGGTCCACACTTCCAGATTGCTCATCTCCACATGCACAGACCTGAGGAGTTTTTCACCCTTGAGCTATCCCGTATGTGTCTGACTCCACCCTGGTGCTTTTGACTTCTCCGAGAATATCTCCACTATCTGGCCCCACTGCGCTGCGGCAAAATCAGGGACCAATTTGATTGAGCATAGGACCAACGTTGTAGAGCATATTGTGGAAGGAGAGTAAATACATTATTTTAAAATTTCTTACAAATGTAACAGAAATGGAGCCTGGGAAAAGAAACCGGGTAGGTCGGGCGATTGACAGATCCAGGGCACGTAACCGGCTGCGCCGAAAAAGTGCTCTTTTGCGGCATGGCTGGGACAAAGCTTAAAGTGAAAAGGCAGAAGGTGTCAAAGTTACGTAAAAAGCCTGGTGAATTCGACCGAACGGCTACTGAGTTTGCAAGTAAACAAGGTGAAAAATGTACAGGGGCACGGCGACCAGCCCCCTGGGGCTGAGCCTGACTTTGCATCTATAATTAACATTTTGTAGTTGGAGTGTAGATATAGAGAGGCAGTGCTAGGTGTCAGGTGACAGAAGGTTCACGTGGGTGGGGTCAAGAAGCGTCAGGTTGGAATTCCGGTTGCAAAAATAGGAGGCTGCCGGAAAATCTCATGACAGGAAACGTGTATACAGTGACAAGCATTGTTCACACAATGCGCCTGCATATAAGCCCACGTTGCACAAGGAGCAAAAAATTGAAAAGAAAGGCGTCTCGAGCACGCTGCAGGACTCGGTGAAAAAATTTTCGAGCCACAGCTTAGGTCCCGGGCTTTCCATAGTAAACAGTGACTCAGGTTTCTACACTAACAAATTATTGCCGATTATCCATTAAAAGCTCTATTATTAAATTAACTTAACCCACTTACAACAACATGGCGACACCAGCGGCGGCGGCGACACCGAAGACACCAGCACCGAAAGCCTGGGCAGCACCAGAGTCTGGAGAGCCGTTAGAACCGTTGGAACCGTTGGAACCGTTGGAAGAGTTGGTGCTGTTGGAGCCGTTAGAGGCGTTAGCAGCGGAGACGGCGGTAGCGGCGGTCAAAGCGATGACAACAGTGGAGAATTGCATTGTAGTTGTGATGAAGAAGAAAAAAAAGAAGATTCCAGGGGGATGGGCTCGGGTATTTATAATGAACAGGGCAGGCACTGTCTGCAGTCCATGTGATATTGAGGCGGGAGGAACCAGCAGGATGTTGACAGAGGCGGCCACGGTCCGTGTGCAGGAGTGCAGATGTTGCAGGAGGCGCAGACGCAAAGTGGGACGCCCTGGGGCCACGAAAAAAAAGAAAAAAAAAGAAGAAAAGAGTGCGATGGAAAAAAAAAAAAAAAATAAAAAAATTAGCATACCTTGCTGCAGGGTGCCAGAGCGTGGCCGTCACGGTCGCCCAAAGGAGAAAAAAAATTCCAAAGCGGTTAGCGTATCGGCGGCAGACTAGCAACGCCACAAAGCAACCCACCAAGCCAACCAGAAAAAAAAAAAAGTGAAAATAACAAAAAACGGCAAAGCCTGAATAGTTTCAACGGCCCCGTCTGCCGCCTCGTCAAAGAAACTTCATTCCCTTTTTTCACATTCCCCTATGGTTTCGTCGTCGCCACCACCGTCACATAAGAAAAGGCACCACTTCACGAAATGCACCTCCGCCTGTTTGGCTGCGAAATGAACCTCCACCATGCGCACATCTCTGAGTCAGACAACCGTGGCTCTGCGAAACCAATGACGCATTTTCACACTACGACACGAAAATAGACAGGCAGTGGAGGCATGGAAAATGCAGTTTTCGAGGATTCCAGGGGACAGGCGGATGACACATTGAGCGAAAAGTTCCCCTAATGTGCTCGCCTGACGTGCCCGGCATTGTCTGCACCTTCCATGAAGCCTACCGCCAGAGATAAGCTGGATTGAATGGACATGTTTTCCGTTTTTGCCTCCTCCAATCTTCAATTCTAAATTTTTTCTAAAACCGCTTCTACCTTCTACCACTTCTACAACTATTCCACCACTTCCACCTCTTCACCACCCCACTGTATCTGGTAACCGCCGGGCCTCAGCTCCAAGCCCGTCGCTACTATCTAAGCAGATAGCGTTATTCCAGCAGCCCACCGCACACCGCAGCCTCTACAGGGTAACTTTCGTCCCGCCCGGCGCAAAATGGCACCCCTGTGGCTCCCGACGTTTTGTGGCAATTTCCACCTCCACTGCGTTATCAGCACTGATCCCGAAAATTACGCTTTCGCCTGTTTTTCAAAAAATTTCACCCTATGGGCCTCATTGGTCAGCCCCACGGAACAGCCCCGCCGTGCCCCTGAGGGCTTAACTCGACACCCAGCGCCAATAAGAGCCTACCGTGGTATCTGCCGCCGAGCAGCATGAAGGTTGCTGCACCCGAAGTTGAGCTTTACGGAGCAGGCGGAGCAGGCGGAGCAGAAAAGAAAAAAACGGTGCCAACTCTCGTAACCACCAGTTCGTCTGGTTTGCCAGAATCCCACCCCATTTTGTTTAGTACTTTTTGCTTTGCTTATCTGGGCGTCCACGCTGGGCGGGTATACGCCAAATCCAAAGATAGCACCAGCGCGTTCACCCACCGTGTCTGAGTTGCAGCCATTTTTTTTTTTTTTTTCGGTTCTCATTTTTTGGGCAGCCACGGTGATTTTTTCCTCTTCAGGTAAGGTGGGGCTCCGGAAAAAAAAGTGAGCCTTTCCTCCTCCACTGTAATTAAGGCATGGAAGCTGCGAGAGCCCCACGCGGCCTTGTCCGTTTCTTGGTATTTTTGCAAGTTTTTTGCGAGTTTTTTTCTTATCAATGTGGGTTCTCTGATTCGTCAACCGGGTCCTCGCTATCCGTTGTTTCTGCTTTTGGTTCTATGAGATCTTGCAGCCAAGCCAGCAACGTCCGGGGCTTCCAGAGCAAGAGATTTTCCGAAAGTGCCGACATCGCCTCCGGATAAACTGGAAATGGCGGACTGTTTAGATTTCACGGCCATAGCAAGCATATTTGGTCCGAATTGGGAGCTTCTACGCTGGAAGTCCGGAAGTGGTTACATCAAAGCCATGTTTGTAGATGGAGAGCCCGTTAAGCCACCACCAGCCGTTTGTAGTCTTTGTGATGGGATTTGATCACAAAAGGTTTTTCATCGATCACGGAGATAATTCAATTTTGTGATTTGGGGGTGGGCGTTTTGTGCAATTGACTCTTTGGGTATGGTTGCCAAGGCACTGAACCGGTAGTTTACGGACCCCTTGATCTGATCGCTTGCTGGAGCATAAGGGCGAGACCATAGTTTGCTTAGTTGACTCACACGACGGTAACTTGGCCAAATAGAAATTAGAGTTGCAGCAGGGTCGCTTATTCTGTGCCATGGGCGCGATGCTCTGGTAGCGGTTGCTCAACGATCTGATATTGGGTGGAACACAAAGTCAAAGTCGCTGCAAACTCGGGGGTTTATTAAAGAAAAATAGAGGAAACAATTGTGGTGGTTTCGAAATTGTGGAGTCTTTTGGTGCTGATTGCTTGTGGCAGTGGAGGTCTTCATAATTATCATGATCGCCATGAGCCAAACATCCTTCTCCATGAAATTTTGAAATTCTGCAATTGGCTGCAATCCAGCTGCATTTACAATTTTTCCAATCTACGGCTCATGAAACCGAAAATTTCAGGACTACCAGTCTATCAAAACCATCTATCAATGGCCTCATCCAGCTTTAACCCACACCGATCCCCAAACATCCCCTTTTTAACACCCACCCAAAAGTTCCAGTTCACCTCATTCCCAAATCCACCAAATCCACAAATTTCACCAAATCCAACAAATCCCACAAATATCCTATATCTTTTGTCCCACCTTCACTCCACCACTCCACCCATAGTCTATTTACCAAACGCGAATCTCAAAACAATATGCTCCAGCGTCAAAAGCTAGCCACCCTCCATGGCCTCGCTCTACATTGTGGATATCCAGCAATCGGCAACAAAACGGCCCGTGTGAAGGCCATTGAAGAGCTGTGCTTTTCTGTAAACACCCAACCACTCAACATCTTGTCTATAGACATTGGCATCAAGAACTTCTCGTACGCTAAGCTTCTGTACAAGGGGGTTCCGGCGAAGCTGATCGGTTTGTTCGACTGGAATCACGTCAATTTGCATAATCGGTTTGGTCTACCGGAGGCGAACTCGTCTACACTGCTTCTGAAGTCGTACATGGCTCAGTTGGCTGTTCTGGTGGTGGATCAGATCTTATTGGGAGAATGGGTTCCCTCCTTGATACTCATGGAGAGTCAGAGAACGCGGTCAAATACAAATCTGGCGACTTTGCCCAATGTCTTGTTGAACTACACTTTGGAACACATGATATACGCTGCGTTTGCAGCCAGACAGCATACCCATCCAGCATTCAAGGACGTGCCCATTGTGGCCACAAACTCCACAAAGATGGTCAATTTTTGGATGAATCGTTTCGTCAATAAGGACAAGAGGATGACTGCAACGTTCTCCAAGAAACTACGAGCTGGTCTCTTATTCGGTTGGCTTTCAAATGCGAAAAGTTCACCAATCGATCTTTCTGAATTATCATCGAGGCTCCCAGACGACTTTGCCAGCTTCAGCTACCGAAAGAAGGTCTCAGCGTTTTTGGACTCTTTTTCGTTTGAAACGCTGCCGGGAAAGGCCGACGATTTGGTCGACTGTCTCTTATACAACATTGCATCTTATCAGCAGCTCCGCCATCACCTCGAATTGCAACCTTACATCAAAGAGGATAAAGATGTCGAAGAGCTCGTTCATCGTTGGGACGAGTCCCATATCGCTTACGTCAAACCTGTGGTTGATGAATTCGATCTTGAGTTCAGACCAGAGTATGCCCCATGATCACCATCTGCATTTGCATAAATATACACCAACGCTCATTACTTGTCTTTTCTTTGTAGATGATCAAATGATAGATTGCGCTCCTTCGTTGACGGGACTGATGCTTTGGTGGATCTCGTTGGCAACGTCCGACGGCGTATCCTCGGATAACTCAAACATAAGGCCATCATCATTCTTGTCGGACTTTGACCTCTTTTCTTTCTCTCTTTCAACAGATCCACGTCTGAGATCCTTTGCCTTGACTGTTTCGTTATCGTCGTCCTGCTCGTCGAGCTCATTAGTGTCATCTTGATCATTCAGATCACCATCATCGTCATCGTCATCGTCGTCGTCATCATCATCATCGTCATCATCGTCGTCGTCATCGTCGTCATCGTCATCATTGTTATTATTATTGTCGTCGTCATCGCCATCGTCATCTTCATCCTCGTCCTGCTCCTCCAAAGTCACATCAAGACCTTCCGAGTTGCGTTCGGCAAGAACTTGCTTGATTCTAACTCGAAGTCTCTCGACGATGTCAATCCACTCACGCATACCACCCATGCCGATGTCACCACACACCAAGACCTTTTCAACTGGCTTCAAAATCTCCATTCCAAAGCCATCGTCTGTGGTCGTGATCATCTTGAGCTGTTTGGCGGTCATAGGGTGGGTATACATGAAAGTGTTCATAGCAGGAGCAACCAAAATAGGTTTCTTGGTTGCGCTTGAGCCAGAGATGGCACCGGTAGGGCCCCACGATCTGATGATCGACGTCAACAAATTGTCGGAGATACCGTTGGCAATCTTCGCTAGCGTGTTGGCACTCAAAGGTGCAATCAACATGATGTCAGCCCATTTACGGAGCTCGTTATGCAAAATCATCTTGTCGTAGTGGTTCTTTGACTTCTTAGATGGTGCTTCATAGGTGGATGCAGTTGTAGTGGTATTTGAGTTATTCCACTCGGTGAAATTGGCCCATTCGTCCTCGTCTCTCCAAATCTTCACCTCGTTGTGGATCTTTAAACCCTTGAGGAAGTGACCTGCTGCTTTCGTGACAACAAGCTGGATGGAAAGCTTTTGTGTGCCAAATATCTGGAAGAGTTTGTCAATAATCAATGGTACCTTGATGGTTGCAACACTTCCAGTGCAGCCAAGAAGAATGTGGAACTTCCTGTCATCTTCCTTGGTCAAATACTCTTGGAATGGGACAGGTGGACCAACAGGAGAAGCCACAACCGTCTTATTAGACCGCTTGGTGGCTGAATTCTTTCTCTGAAGCGCACCGCTGATTCTGATAGGCACAGCACCTGATTCCGAGTGATGGGATTGTGGGCCTGGCGAACGGCTGCCGGACCTCATGCTTGAGCGAGAGCCAAAGTAAGAAGGTCTAGATGGAGGAGGCGACGGCGTACCTCTGCCATCCAGGTTTGCCGAAACAGGAGAGTCGTTGCGAGACGATCCGAGAGACTGATGCAGTAAATTCAGGGTGTGATTAGCAAGAGCCGGGTGGGGGTTGGAGAAGTCCTGAGCGTCGTCTGCGTCATGGACTTCACGATTCGTGTGGAGCTTTTGAAACTGATTCACGAGCTGCTGTTGCTGCTGGTCAGAATAGTTCTGATGCTGTTGAAGTTGATGAGTGCTGAGGGCAGAGCTGTTTCTGCTGAGCGCCGCTGGGAGACCGTCGCCTCTCAAAGAAGCTTTTCTTGAAGGCGGGTTTCCGGAATTGGTGCTGCTCATTGTAGGAACCTTTTGCTGCAGTGTCAAGTTAGAGGTCAGCGGCTGCGACGAAATCGTGAATCTTCTTGACCTATCGGAGCCATACTGATCCGAAAAGGAAACCAGGTGGTTTCGAGACCTTGGATCAAAAACACCACCGGGGTTCGTGCTGCCCAATCGTAAAAGCGGAGGTTGTGGAACAGGCGTCTGAGCTTCAGGAGACGGAAGACCCTGGTGAGACGCAGTGTGAGGCGAATGACAATTCGAGCCGTTTTGTGGCGAAAACAGCAGTTGTGTAGGCAGCATCGTGCCGTAGCCGCCTTGTTGCAGCCTCTGTGAAGCAGCATGAGATGGTGTTGTTTCTTGCAGAGAATTGTGGGCATTGAGCGATGATTCAAGCTGGGAATGGAACGGAAAATGGGATTCTCTGGTCAGCATGTGGAGTTCGCCAGGCGAGGAGACCCGGGACGACAGAGGCAGCGATGTTTGGGAGGCCCAGTGGTTTCTGGGTTGGGGTCTATTGGGATGAGTTTCATGAACATGGTAAGTGGAGGTGTCGATCTTGGGCAATTTTTCCTGTTTTTCGGCATTCGAGCCAGACCCTTCTTTGGGGGAATCCATGGTGTCCACGGCTTTTCTGGTAGTGGAGTGGAATAGAGGAGGTTGCTGGGGAGAGTTGCTGACACTGATTTTGAGAGGAGGAAAAAAGCGCACTTAGTGAGGGAAAGAGCAGTGGTGAAAAAGGGCAAACAAGAAAAAAAAAATTTTTGAAAAAGGAACACCGGAAGGAGTGATGGAGTCATGAATTTGCGGTTTGGTTAGGGTGGCAATTTGCTTGAATGGTTGAAAAAGCTTCCGGAGCTGTTCCTGACGTACCGGCTTATTCAGCACCCAGCAAGCTGTTCCTCAGTGATCTATGGCCAATGGGCAAAAGGGAAATCAAATAAGGTTTGGATCTTCAGGCATTTCGGTGGGACAAAAAAAAGTCTGACAAAAAAAGTCCTCTAAAAGTTTACAACAGTACAATGGCCCTCTCAAGATCTTCGCTCCTTGGCTGCGAAACAGTGTAAAGTTTAATTCATAAACCACGGACTCCATGAAAGTCGCAACCCCTGGGTCCTCTCGTAACCATGCGGTAATTGCCCAGACCACCGCAAAGCAACACAGTATAAGCGGATGCTCGTGGGCCTAAATATGGTACACATGAGATCCTCATCCGATCGTCTAACTAGTCCACCGCGGCTTTAACGGAACAATGTACAGTGGACAATTGAGATCTGGTCATCAAAAAGGTCGTTAGTAGCGAGTATTGGGCCGCTATGCTTATTGGCTAATGACTTATGGAATGAAATTCAAATTCATAGTTGACCTATGAAAAAGAGGTATGGACGGTTGCAAATGCCGCGGAGCCGCAGGGCCGATTAGTTCATGCTGGTGCCAGAATTCCCATTGGGTATTCTGCAATGTTTCAAAACAGCGATTTGCGAGGTAGACGGCTTTAGAACATGGCTTAACTGTGGCTCTGTGGCATGCACCTGGAGGTATTCCAGTGCAATTGGAGACAAAACGGTAATTGAATGATATTAAATTGAATTGAATGATCTGAATGTGTTTTGTCTTTGGGCAGCTTTGTTATGTCGCTGTGGTGAGCTCATTATCTATGGCACAGAGATCCGGGTATGTAGCGTGAGTTCCAGCAATATCAGAGGTTGTGCAGCATAATCGTTCGTTACGTGTCCATGCTCGTGCTTATTCGATGCACTTTCAGAAGGAATATTGATTCGCATCAAAAGAGAATGATTGGACGTTGTCAGATCTTCTTATAGATGTCTACATATGCGGTATATGGGTATGAGCTTACCGCATTCCCTCAGTAGGGATACCACAATAGTCCTACAAAGCGTTCCTCAATTCCCCAATTTCCAGAACCCCAATACCTCAATTCCTAAATTCCTAGATTCCTCAAATGCTTATTATGGAACTATTCGAAATACTCAACTTCTGTGAATCTCGTAGTAACTCTTGACCTCCCCCCATAGTACACGGCTCCATGCGCGAAAAAAGACAGCCAACAGCCTAACCTCAACCACTCCATGAATCTCCGTCAACAATTGACACAGCTCCTCACGTTGGCCTACGTGTTCACGTCGGCCTTCGTCATGTGGAAGGGCCTCAGTGTATTTGCCAACTCCCACTCGCCCATCGTGGTGGTGTTGTCGGGTTCCATGGAACCTGCGTTCCAAAGAGGTGATATCTTGTTCTTGTGGAACAGAGACAGCCAGGCAAAGGTGGGCGACGTGGTAGTCTACGAAGTCAAGGGCCACTCTATTCCAATCGTCCACCGTGTCCTCAACGAGCACCACAATGACGAAAAGCAGCTTTTGCTAACCAAGGGTGACAACAACGCCTTGAACGACTTGTCGCTTTACGCCAAGAAGCAGGCCTACTTGAATCAGAAGGAGGACCTCGTGGGCACCGTCAAGATGTACGTGCCTAAGCTCGGGTACGCCACGATTTTGATCACAGAGAACAAGTATGTGAAGTTCACGCTTCTTGGGCTCATGGGCATATCCGCTGTTCTCAGCGGGGAGTAGTAGCATAGATATACGATGAATTGAAGGTTTTGTAGTTGGATTTTGTTTTGAATTGAGTGGGCTTGGAGGTTTCCATGTGGTGTATAGGGCTTTCCATCAGCACCTATATAGATATGGTTGTCGCAGCTGCCTAATAGAGGTAGACCACAGTGCTTAATATGATGTGTGCCTAATAAGATGTGAACTCTCGTCAATGAAGCTGTCTAGATTCACAAGTTAGATTGGCCATGTCGTGAAAAATGTCAGAGTTGGCATAACTGGGGACTTTCACATAAACAGTATCCCATACCTTCCTTCTGTTCCACTCTTATCGTGATAAACGCGAGATAAGAGATATTTGACTTGCAGCCATTCAAACGGGCAAATCCTCACAAGCCATGAAACGACAAACCACATAACGAGATAAGGAGAATTCCCAACTCACATATTCTGAAGAGCCAATTCTGGCCGATCCTGCCAACTGAAGCCTTTTTGAAGCCCACCCCGTCAAAATCCACAAAATCCACAAAATCCATCACCAACCCCAAAACCCCAAATCCCCAAACGCCCAAACCAGACCAAGTCCGACTCGAATCCCGTATGCCCCTTGAAAGACACTATAAAGTTAGCGCCATGCAGCCCGACCCATCGGTCCACAACCCTACGTCGCCAATACCCAGCGCCAAGATCACCATAAACACCAAAATCGATTCTATAAAAGTAGCGGTTCAAGCAAAATATTTAAAGTTTGAAAAATCTGCCAAAATCGGAATACCGGCTGGGGCGGCTATCTTGAAAGCTTATCTCATGGGAATCTGACGCATCGGTGGTACCCATGATGGTGCAGTGCGATTTGCAGCCACTGTTCACATGCCTCACCTGAGGCTAGGATGAGCTGATGAAAGTGCCCCAGCGTCCAGGAAATTCGAAACTTTTCGAAAATGTCAAAAACCTCTTTTGAGCGGTTTGTGAAAACCCACTTTTGGACGGGCAAATTCTCGGGTGAGCTTATTTGGCCATGCGGTGTTGCAGTGAGCATTTGTTTCTTATTTCAACGGCCGACAGATGCGAACAATGGACTAAAAAAAAGTATGGCGCTTTGATCACCCCGAACCACGGGGCACTCGATTTGACATGGTATGACATTTTTGCAAAAAACCAAAAATACCACCGTCAATAAGGAACCCGGTTTCGGCGCCAAAGTCGTGTTTATTTTTCCGATTCACCGCGTCCGGACCACTTGGGCTGCCCCCAGAACGAAGAAAAGAGCGCATGCATGGTCCCGAGGTCGGCATCCACACCAGATATAAATCCAAGCCCTGCACCCCTGATAATTCTGTGCTTTGATCTGGTTCTTCTTTTGGACTTTGGGCTGTGTTTCTTGATAGACTCCTCCAGACATGCCTTTTACAGACCTCCCCAGCGAGATCATCCACATGGTGCTCTCCCAGAAGTGCCTAGGCACCGAGGAGCTCCAGCCGTTCCTTCGTTGCAAGAGAACCTCCACAGCTGCCTACCACAGACTCCTATCGGGAAGAAACATCAGTATAACGTGCCTGGACAAGCACGTGGACATGAACGACCACTTCGATTTTGGTCTTTACGGGGTAACTTCTACTTCAGACGTGGGAACCTTGAAATGCCACTTGCACCACTGCCTCAAACCAGCCAGACTGAGACTCGGAGCGCTCAAGAGGTCGTCCAAAATCACGCTAAACATGCGTTTTGACGGCACCTCCGTTGCACTCCTCAGAAACTTGACCCACCTAGCATCGCACTTGGCTCACTCCACCCCAAAGGAGCTCCATTTGCATGTCAAATTGGCCTACGAGGGAAACGAACCATCCAAATCTATTTTCTCCGTCCTCAAGAGTCTAGCTGCTATCCCCCACTGCTCCAGCCACCTCAAGTTGTGCCTTCAGGCCCACCACCTTCTGTTTTTCGCAGCCAACATGTCTGAGCTAGACTTGACGAGTTTGAACGTGAGGACCCACGGAGAGTTTGCAGAACTGAAGGAGCCGGTCTCTTTCGACGTCAGCGACATCTCCAAACTCAAGATCATGTCCAATTACGCCATTCCAAACTTGTCGTTCACTGGCTGCGAAAACTCGGCTCTCCAGACATTGGAGTTCCACCTCCCCATCTCAGCTCATTCCCAGTGGATCCAAGAAAACCAGCTCAAGAACATTCAGTCCTTGGAGGATCTTCGGATTTTCTCCGTCAACGACTGCCACTCCTTACAGGTCTTGATGTCCGGAACATATACCCTCCCTCATTTACTCAACTTGTACATATCCTTTACTGAGCTGATCCACGACATCGACTGCTTTGATTTCGATACCTTTGCCCCAGCCTTGGATTTTTTATTTATCCAGGACCGCCGCTCAACAAAAACGTGCAACAAAGTGTGCAAGTACACTGTATAGACTAATTACACGCCGTGAGCACCATCACCAAGATGTAGAATCGATCGCCTACAACAAAAAGGAAGAAAGAGGACTAAAAACAAAAAAGAAATGCCTTCAGCCAGATTCGAACTGACGATCTCCTCATTACTAGTGAGGTGCCTTACCAACTTGGCCATAAAGGCAGCTCGAAACGACCTCGGTGAGGGTCGAACTCACGATCTTAAGATTAACAGTCTTACGCCTTAGCCAACTTGGCCACGAAGTCTTTCAAGTTGTATAGCCGACTCGCACAAACAGCTATATGAAGACTTATTTGTGTTATATGCAGGTACTCAAAGTCGTCCAGATCTTCAGTTTGGCCAGAGAACTTTAGAAATTGAGTCAACGGACCGGCTCAAGGAATGGAGCGTTGTTTGGCTGACTTCCAAGAGTCCACTCAATTGATTAGTCGTTACAATTGAAGGTTTTTATTAAAAAAAAAGTGAAAATATGTCGATTTCTTATCAGTAATGGGTCTAGCTTGAGCTGCTTACTGCTGAAGAAGGGCTATATGCACTACGCACCTTTAGTAGGGGCACCTCGAATTATGAGGCGTATCTTATCAGTAGCTGAGGCAGAGCTCTAAGGCGTACTCAGACATATGCAAGGGTATCTGTCAAACTGCCAAATGATCAATTTGTGCATCTGTCTCACGTGTTTAACAACAGTATTGATCTAGGGAGACACAATCATCAATACCGTATACGGTAAACACCCAGCTACTCAACCCTAAGATTTTCTTTAATACGATGAGACTGATAACCGGAAATTACTTATCCTTGTTGCACATGACACTAATAATGCTGTCAGCAACTGCTTTGCTTTTGGACATTTCTGATTTGAAAGTTGACGGCAACTATACTGAGAACGAAATATGTTATATTAGGTACTTTGGAGTATCATTACACGATGAGTATGGCTATAAAGCATATGGGTTAAAGATGAGTATTGATGTGAGCGCAGCCGCCTTGATGAGTCAAAAAAACTATACTGGGCCCCTACAAGATCATTCTCATTTTGAAATGGTGTTACAAGAGAGTGCGATCCATAACTACAATGAATCAACTGATTACTGTGAGCAATTAGAGAATGCCATTGAAAATAAGGCGAAGCTTTACAGAGACTACTATGAGTCTGGAGGAGGAGATTTGAGTGAACTAATTTGTGTCGGGCCATTTGAAGATGATGATGACAGGCAAGTAGGAGATCACCAGTCAACTACGAGTAAGCTGTTACAGGACGAGAAGTACACATTTTACCACACGCTTGAAATTAAAGAACGCTTGTGACGAATGTTCAGATGAAGCAGGCTGTGACTTTACGGGTTTATTTAAGTGGTTATGGTGCATAGGAGTGATTTACCTTGTTGACTATATAATGCATGAACTAGATGGCTTCAATTCTGGCAGTGTATGAGTTTGTGCAGCCGACGTTTCTAACCAACACTCTCTTGGTATCCTTCAGCTTTGCACTAACGAACCCAATACCCGTTGGATTACCTTCGGTTAGATTGAACGTTCCAGTTGTTATAAATCCAATGAGCTCTTCGAGCTGCGGTTCCTTAGCATTGCCTTCGGGGATTTCGTAGATTCTGGCAGAGTCCCTGATGATGCCTTTGCCGGTCAAGGTCACTCTTCTTTGGACAACAGGCAAGGATGGGAATTTCGAGACATCAGGCTTGAACGTGCCCTCAACAATCGCTTTGTGGGTAGGATCATTTTTCTTGTACCAAGTTATTGGAAGTTCGCTCATTTTAATGGGTTTTCCTGAGAGCTTCCATTCTTCTCTGACTGCTTCGATAACCGTGAGAACATCATTTCTATCGAGTATTTTTCTGAATCTAGCGTCTGTGAATTCTCCGAAAGGATGCTTTCTTATGAAGTCCTTTTCAATAAGAGGGTAAGTAAAAGTCCACTTTCTAAGGAAGTACCAATCACCGCCTGCTAACTCTAGGCCTTGTTCCATAGGAATAGGCTTTCTTTTGCTAGGCGGCATTTTGCTTCTCTTGATGGAGTGGGCCTCCTGTAATGCTTCATTGTGCTTGTAGCCTTCCGGAAGTAAAGGAAAGTCATGTGGAAATGTTGGTCTTCCTTGCTCGAAATTAATTTGATGCTCTTGACGAAGTCCACCCGTTTTGACACCAGGTATTTGGACTACTTTGCTCCAGAGAGGCTGAATCCAAAACCATGGCGCCAAAACGACCCATGTCTGATTAGCACCCTTGGTGATGAGCAATGGGATTTCACTGCTGTTCTGAATTCTTTGGGAAAATGGGTCTGCGCGATCAAACTCACGTCCAATCTGTTTGATAGAAAACATGTCCTTGTAGGAATCTGTTCTTCTTTGGCTTTGAAGGAGGCCCGTTATCGCATCAATATCTATGAACAGTTGTTTCAGGGCAATGACCAGTAGAAGGTCTCTGTTGTTTCTGGGAGGTTGTGGAGGAGTAATCGGCCGTTTCCAGCACCTAGGATCCTCAACGTAAAATGCAAATGTAGTGCCCTCGGGTATGAGAGCAGAGTCGTTGGAGTTGCTAAAGAGCAACCAGTTCAGTGATGTAGTGTCTTTTGCACCTTTTAGATGAATGGTCTTGCTGAGTATCTGGAGAGCTGTGGGGCCCGTCAATTGTAAACTGCCAATGGCGTAACGGCAGTCAGTCACGGTTGCTTTGAAAGTCTTAGCAAAATTGACCAAATGATCAAAAAGCTGCTCGTAGACGGAGGGGTGAACCCGTAAGAGGAGCAGTTTATCATGGGCAATGACCATACCTGGGCAGATCTTTTGGTTGGCTGCAAAGATCCACCCAGAGTAGGCTTTCTCGCCCTTCGAAAGCCATTGAGGCACCGGCGAGTTGAACTTGGTCACTTCCAGTAAGATAGCTTCGAGCCCCGTTATATCCACACAATCGATCACCATCTCACCGTAGTAAGAAGTGTCAAAGAGAACAGTTCCCTGTTTAGCAGCCCGACTGGTAGCTCTAAAACATTTTTGATTCGGGCTGAATGGAATCTGGAACCCCCATTTTTTCATCATATGGAACCGCTTGGCATGCCATATATGCGTAGGTTGCCATGTATACGTTTTCTGGCGACTACCATACTTCACATTTCCCAGAGATTTGGGCGCTAATGTACCAGTAGAGCAGTTATCCACAGCACCAACGATATTATTCAACGGCTTGAGTTTCTTTTGTTGTAAATCAGTCAACTGAACGTTAAGCTCTTTGAGCCTCTGGGGTATAGTTTTCCCAGTGTTTGCCGCTGCAATTCCTCGAAGCTTTTTAATTTTCGAGGCCACCAATAAAAGCTTCTTCTGTTGTTTAAGTCTGTATCTTTCTCGGCCTCGAGGCTGTTTTCCCTTTGGAGGAACGCCATTGATGGTGCTCTGCATCTCTCTCAATGCCTTGTTTCTCATTCTCTTGGGGACTCTCTTCACGTTATGCGAGGCGGTTCTTCGACGAAGTGTCCTGGGAAGACTCTGGAAAACTCGGTTAGACGAAGCATATTTGGTGTTCAATTGACTGTGTTCGAATGCTTTGATCTCATACTCTCTTGATGAAAGGAACTCTGGGATGCTAAGGATACCGTCGTTGAAACTTGGGTCGACTGTCTCTGTCCTGATAGCCCTACTGTTGTAAAGCTTCGCTTTTCGAGCGTTTACCGGAGCTTTTGGTGGCATTCCCTATGGTACAAGTATTTGGAATTTCGAGGTACTATAGATATTCTCATCGCGCGCCGTATTCACTGATTTCTATGAACAGCTGAAGACGAGCCTACCCACGCTAGATAAATAGTCATTTCCTAAAATTTCATTTTACGACTTTTTTAGTTGAAGCTACAATATTTGGTATCGGAAGCTGAATTAAAACACTTTTATATGATATGACGTGAAGTTAGGCTTAGTCTTTCACTCTGCTGCCTGAATATGCTGATGCTCAAGTTAATAGTACGAAACGCTGTAAAGCGTGGGTAAGTGGACATGGTCGAGCTGCCATTGCGCTAGGATCTTCATGATCTCGTCCTCCATTATAACAGGATACTGGTCCTCGTCGCCTTCGTTGATCTTTCTCTGTTTCTCCTTCTCTCTATACTCATGAATCATCTTCACCAATTTGACAATGCCTTTACCACCGATTTTTGCATTCTCGTTATCATCCTTGATGTCCACATTGATCACATGGACTACCAGACGAACGTCTTTTTCTTCAGCCTCTTCGGGCTTGTTGTTCATTCTCATCATGAGGTCCTCAAGCACGGAATCAAAGCATCTCTCCTCACATGTGATAACAAGATCGAACTTTCCTGATGCTGCATTGGCGTGCCACTTTTCTGGTGCCCTCTTGACTTGTCTGTTTCTGTCCAACATGGATATTAAGCCGTTTGCCTCATACATCTTTCTATAGTCCTGTGATATCAAATCCTGGTAGATTCTCTCGTACGGCGTACCGAACTCGTAAACATTGGGTTTGTCTATTGAAGGTCCTGGAAGTTTCACTGAAGAACCCGTTCCGAATGAGCTGACATCGAATCCGGCGTCTCGAAGTTGTTTATGAGATTCCATGGATCTATTATTGTTCGATGCACAGACTGTGCATATTCTCATAGTGTCGGTAGCCATGAGGGTGTAGAATGTGTTATGATTATTTCTAAATAAGTAGTAGTATGCTAGACCAATTGGTCTGTTGGTGATGCTAGATACACCTCGAGTAGGGCGTGTGTGCACTACCCAACAGCCACTGCCTTCTGGAGACCCTTCTTTGAGCATCATGAATAGTAGTTTGAGAGCCGGGCCTGCCGGAATATCCTTCAATATATTAATTCTCATCCTCTAACACCGTGACTTTCGAAGGACCCTCGACAATGTCGTATTTCGCAGCCATGGAGTGCGATGTATCTTCAGGTCCCTCCTCCTCTGAGCCAAAATCGTCTCCGATATCGACAAAATCACTGAGATCGCCGGCAGTTTCACCCTTTCTTTCAGTCTCGGTGCTACGCTCATAGGTAGAATGCGACACGGACCTTCTGGCAGGAGCACGGTCGTGGAAATGAACGATCTTGTTTCGTCCTTGTAGTTCGGTCTTGAGTGCCTTATAGTCATCATACGATTCGACCAAGAGTCCCACAACCATAGAGGGATCAAGGCCTGATATCGGCACAGTGTTGCACGAGAGTGGCTTGTAAGAACCGTTGGTCTCGTCTACCTGCTGCGAAGAGTGGGGGTCCAAGTAAAGAAGCAGTTCACCCTGGTAGCCGAAAAAGTAGTAGCTTGAAGAAGGCTTACCCCCTGAAATACCCATGGAATTTGGCAATGACAAAAGTTGGAAAAGACTTGGGTAGTAGATCGAGTTGATGGTCTCAATACCGAGACGGATAGGGAACAAAAGAAGAAGCGGACTCAATTCTTTCAAAGCAGTCTTTATCTCGTCATCGTGGAGGTCACAGCTCTCGCAAATCATGACATTCAAGCGAGGCACAACCGAGACAGTCGAACCAGAGTCCTCATTAGCCTTGGTACAGAGGCGTTTGATAGACAAGGATGCAGCACTAGGGCCAAACCACTGCCCTGGTTTCACCTTCAATGGCAGGTGAGACGCCACGCCAACAAAATTATGCAACGAAAAGGGGCTGCTGTAGGAGTCTTGAAACAAGGCAACCACCTGGCTATTGATGGCCAGCCAATCTGGCGTATTACCTTCGGCAATAGCGGCTCGTACTAGCACCGTCTGAAGCGTATTAGCTAGCAAACACTGGGCCGTTCTGATCATGCATCCCCAGCCCACGTCGGACTTGAAGCTGTTGTTATCGAAGAAACCCGTAAGGGCACCTTGGGGGCTCACGCCATGCACTATCATGGAGCCTAGAAAGGAAAGTGGGCTAGGCCCGTCCAAGGCTCGAGGGATAGGCTCAAACCCCGTTCTATAAGTAAACCAGAGCCTGCGTTGGATTGCATGCTCAATCTCCGGCAGAGTTAGATTGCCCGTATAAGAGGTGCCCATGATGACCACGGGACCGTTATTCTCATCTTCCAGTAGTTCTGGTGATCTGAGTCTCTGCCAAAACTGGGCTAATGCATTTTGGAACGTGTTGGGCTGATCGGATGTGGTGGTTTGTGATTCTGTGGCTTCTTGTGAATTTGTTGCATTTTGAGCAATGCCGATATCCTTGCCGAGGCCCGAGACATTTACTTCAGATTCACGTGAGGAAGTAGTGGCGTTCTCCTCCGGATGGTCAAGTGACATCGAAACGTGGAGGAAGAAGGTATTGGTGATAATGGAGCTGGCTGCGGGAGTGCACGCATACCCTTATCGTTATCAACACCAGGGTCGTCGGGAATGCAGTAATTTTTTTAATTTTTTTGGAGGTTTAGATGGATTGAATTTGGAGAGGAGGTCAAGTTTTGTTGGTTTTTTGCTGTTACGATATTGTTGGTTTGTGGTGGTGGTAGTCATTAACCTATACTGCTGGTGGCGGTGAGCACTTCATGACAGTCCAGTATCGTCCTGTGAGAGTTTTGAAGTCAATTACTTCGAGTTATAAGAAAGATTCAGAGAGTTTCACTTACTTCTGGAGAGTTGAAGTTAGTTCTAGAGAAGTCGAATTTTTGGATGAATGGTGCAGAGTACCTACAGAACGTCACTGTCATAGGAGACTACCAACAAAGTCATCAACTCAATTAATAGAGGTTGCGTTTGCCATTTTTACCCAGATATTCATTTGTCATTTTAGTTACCCACTTCTTGTGATGCTGCCAACCGTTAACAGTTGGTGGTCACATCAGGTCATGACCTAGATAAAGTTCACTAGACCGAGCTTGACAACCTAACCAACTCATATGTTCATGAAGTGACAGAATCGATAGAATTGAAAACTAACTCAAATTAATCGACCCTTAATATCGGAAACCCTGACCTTTGGGGACTAACGGCTCCGGTTTACCCATACACCTGAGCCCTGGTGACTTTGGTGAAACACACTTTCCCCTTCCATCCAGCTGCATATCGAAACCACAAGCGCAATTCTCCAAACCTCGTGCAATTGAAGCCCTGTTTCCCGAGTTTCTGTAGACGGTTTCGAGCCAATTGGTCTGGTCTCCAAACATACATTCTGCGTGGTAGCCTAACCATCGAGGTCCATGGAAAATTCCAAGGGTCAAGGTGCCATGGCTCTTGATCTTCGAGAAGGTCCGGCCAATGGAACAGAAGTACGCAAAAGGGATGTACAGTTTTAGATGGAAGAAAAAGGATCGAATCTAGACTTTAGACTCGAGCTGATACCGATGGATACGAGGGAATTGCATGAACCGTAGAAGTCAATTGGATCTATGGTGTGTGGTGGGGAGATTTTCAGAAAGATTCATCTGGAGTAACGACGACCGAGATTCTAGATTCTTTTCCACTTTTCCAAATTGAACTTTTCGACTCCGTGAAATTGGTTCCGGCCTCGACCTTGAGCTCAGCGACTAAACTGCAGAAACCACATACATCGCTGTGACCTCATCGATCCAGGGTCCCCACCTCAAAGTGCTACAACGCTAAATTCTACAGTTCCAAAGGCAACAATCCCTTCAACGGATTGAATGTCGCCTATTTATCATAAACTTTCTTTTTTTTTAAAAAAAAAAAAAATCATTTTCTGCCCCATCCACGCTGCATCACTAGCCTCTTGTGGCTGGGAATAATTGCTGCGCGAATACTACATATCGCTACAGTAGAGCCTCTGAGTCCGATAGTGCTACTCTTTTCTACATTACATGCCACGCAAAAAAGGAAATTCCAAGGGAAACTCCCGTGGAGGATCGCTGAGAGGTGGTCGTGGAGGATCTCGTGGAGGCGGCCGTGGAGGATCCAACTACGGTCGTTTCTACCTCAGTAAATCTGCCAAAAGGAAAGGCAGAGGCAAATTGAATCCCAGATCCCTGGGTGGCTACGAGGACCCTGAACTCATGGACCTTGGGGCAGACGAATACATGCCAGTGGTTGATCTACAGTCTCCGGCACCGCTGTCGATGAAAGCTCTTTCCAGAAGACCTAACAGATCCATGGTGGAGGAGGCGAGATACACCGATAGACACCTGGGCCAGACCATGAAGGAGCCGCTTCGAAACAAGCCTTTGGTGTTTGTGAAGTCCGTGGAAGTGTACGATCCTAGCAAACTCACGGTGGACCGTCTTTTGAAAAAGGAGCCTTTTGAGATCACCCAGGAACTCGAGCTGCTTAGGTTCGATGACAAGGAGGAGAACGGTGGCGCCGACGAGGTTGTGTCAAGCGAGTCTGAAGCTACAGAGGCGTCCAGCGAAGATCGTGAATCCGGCGACGAAACGGCCAAGGAGGAGTTATCTGAAAGTGCCAAAGAAAGCGATGGCGAAACGGAAGCAGAGAAGGAGGCACGTTCCTCTGATGACTGCCAGGAACAGGCAACCATAGACGTGGAAATGCACCTGGAATCTGACGACGAGACCACTTCGGTGGAGGCCTCGGACCCGGACGATGACGAACCCTCTTTCGTTATCGACGACCAAGGTGACGAAACGATATCTGCCCTTTACAGCGCACCAAAGGCTTCTACCAGTGAGGTTATCCAGGAGGCCCGTCTCAGAAAACCCACGTCCGAACCAGACCTGCTCAATGGTGATCTTGCTGACCCCGTGGCCCATCTTGAGCACGATCCATACTTCTCAGTCGGTAAGGTTCTTCTTCGCACAGAGATTGATGAAGATGGCTCTCTTACAGCTTCGATACCTCGTGGAAACGTCGACAGGGGCGGCACAGGGTTCAAAGACCTCGACAGCGACTATTATGAGGAATATTCAGACTCTGATTCAGAAGGTGCATTCGAGGACTACTTAGCTCAAATCATGGGTGCCGATGATGCACATGACGACTACGATAGCATGAGTGAGGATGATGCCAATGGAGTGTACTTGAGTGAGGATGACGCTAATGGAGTGTACTTGAGTGAAGACGATGATCTCGACGGAGTCCATGTTTCTGATGAAGATGGCCTCGAAGGAGACGACGACGGTCTTGATGACATTTTATCGTTTGCACAAAACCAGCAGAAGAGCTTTGCTGACATTGACGTGCCTCCAACAAAAACACTTCGGGCCAAGGGCCGTACCAAGAAGCTCAGACTTGAATTCGAGGAGGCTGTTGATGCTGAGCTTCGTGAGTCACTCCTCGAGCAATTCCAGTACCAAAAGACATCAAGGCGAGAGAAGAAGCTACGCAAGAAGGAGAGACTTAAGAATGAGGGTCTTGAGAAGAAGGACCTCTTTGTCAAGTACGACTACTCCCTACACATCAAAGACATTAAAATGGAGTTTGAGGACTTCTTGCAAGATGCTGAAAGGGAGAACATGAGCTTCCCGCCCTTGGATCCACATGGTAACAAGACAGTTAACAAACTTGCAAAGCACTACAACATGAAGTGCACCAGATGTGGAAATGGCCGCCACATTTTCATGAAAATAAGCAAGGCTCGCAAGACTTTCCACTACCTCCCAGACTACAATCTGATAAATTATGTTATGAAGCAACGTCCGATCTTCAAGCGGTCTGACGTCAAGAAACGGACCAGAGAGGAGATCGAAGAGGCCGACGAAAAGGCAAGTGGCAGACG